CCCAGTTGGAATTGAACTGGCAACCTTGCGAATGCGACCTGGGAGTGCTAACCACTGCACTATTGACCCGCAGGTCAATTTGTTTGTATTAACTTATATTTTATAAAAAATAAATATAATAACATATATATACTAATAAAACCAAAACATAACTTAGCTTAAGATACAAATTAAAAAATATTTTATATAGCAAAACAATAATAAACTAAAAATAAAAACCTATAAAGAGTAATTTTTTAATAAAAACAAATTTAAAAATTATTAAACAAATTGTAAAACATAAAATATACAATAATAATTAAATACAATTTGTAAAAAAACAAAAATTCAGACTAGTAAATATACAAAATACCAAAAACACTAGTAGATTTAAATTAATAAATAAAATAATCTAAGTTTTGAAATTTGTATAACATATATAATATATATACTGATTAAATAAGAAACTTACAAGCAGGTTCCAGGTATGGTAGCTAATGTAGAATCTTTGAGTGGACTACTTAAAATTAGACAATAACTAAAGTTATATGAGTAGCTAGTTGTACATTCTTCCTATAGTTGTCCTCTGTGATTGTAAAACATTCATTAGCCAAATATACTATCAATAAAATTCTGGATTGCAAGTACTTATTTTAATATTTAAAAAAAAAAATAAAATAAAAATAATATATATATATAAAACAAAATTGTTTTTATATAATATAAATATACCAACAAAAACTAAAAACATAATTTTACCTTAAGAGTAGGATGTATATAGATTATTTTTTATATAATTTAAATGATATAATAAATTTTTATATAGTAAATTAAAAATGTATTACTAATAAAGCTTTTTTATTTTTTAATTAATTTTTATCAAAATTTAATAATATATAGGATTAAATAAGTTATTTATTATGTTAAAATTTTATAAGAAGTTTAATTTAAAAAAATTATATTTGTATATACCTTGAATTCTTCCAGAGAGTCCTATATTTTTTTTGGGATTACACAAAAAGTTAACTTTAATTGGCTAATTTTTGAAAAACTATAAAAGAATTTTAATAATAAATTTTTATATCTAATCTTTAAAAATTCATATCGATGAGTTTTATGCCAATTTTAATGATTTTACTACTGTTAAAATCACAAGAACCTATTCTAAAACTTTACTTAGAAGCTCAAAAAATATTTAATTAGTAAAAATTTTCATAATTGAAATTATAAAAAAAATATACTATTAAGTTTATATATAATTTTAAAATATTACATCCTACCCTTAACACCAAAAAAAAAACCTACTAATACATCAAAAATACTTAATAAAAATAGTTAAAACTAATCTTACTTAAAGCTTAAACTTTTATATATAACTCTAATCTTGGTTTAAATTACATTCTAATTTTAAATTTGGTAAAAAAATAAAATAATAATATATATCACCATCATTAATAAATGTTAATTGCAACAAAATTTTAATATACAAATTTGCATACTAAATCTATCAAATTGCATAACTCTAAAAATTAAATTTTAAATCAAAATAAAACTATGTATATAAAACCAACTAGCAAAAAAGCATTTCTTGTACTAAATACAATTCTAGGTAAAACCAAAATACTATCACCATCGACAACAAATAAACTATCCTTATTTATATATTATATAAAATTTAATTTAATTGAATATAAACATATAGAGTCTGTGTCTTGAAAATGGCCTTATAAAACTATGTAGATTTTAAGAATAAAAATTAAAATTTCTAGCCATCTAGTAATCAAATTCAAATAACTTTCTTTTATTTTGTAAAGTTTAGCAAGTTCTACAAAATAAAAAAAAGTTTATTTGAATTGGATTACTGGATGGTCAAAAATTTTACTTTTTATTCATAAAATCTACATAGTTCCATAAGGTCATTTTCAAGGCACAGACCCTATATGTTATATCTGAAATTGTGAAATATCTAAAGTAATATCTGACTAGAATTATGCCCCTGGAATTAGATCTTCGTGCATGTAATTCTAGTCAGGTGATACTTTAAATATCTAATGGCAACTTCAAATACGACAGATATTCAAATACAAATATTCAGTCAGTGAAAAAATTTGGATACTCAAAGATTTAAATATTTGAATTATAGAATATACTATCTAATGGATCAGATATTAAACCTAATATGTAGTACGATGTACATTTTATTATAATTCAACAATACAAAGTTCAATATCATACTTCTAATTGCATTATCTTTAATCTGAATCGTTTTCTTCTTGATTTTCATCATCTGCATCCTTATTAAAATTTTCTTTTGGATTTACAACAATAGCACATTCAGGTATCTCACCTTCACGGTTCAAATATCCGTAGTCACGTTCTGTATGATAATCGATGGAATTGAGCCAATTCTGAAAACTGTAATTTGCGTAGAATATGCAAAAAGAACACTTTGTTAGCAAACCTTTGGAAGAAGAATCATACATAACAAACCATTTTCTAAACAAAATAGCTACGTGTTTTCTAAAAATTCCTCGTCATAAATTTTGGAATAGATAAATTTTTCTTTGAATGCATCAATTTTACCCTGTCCGAAAAAGACAAGCATTAGCCAGATTGTACGCAATCGTTTATAAGTAGCTATTAGTTATATCAACGTTATTTTTACCTTGTGAATATCAAATTCAATCAACTCTTTGCCATTATCGACGGCTTTCTTATTGTACGATTTGAACACAGGCTAAATTTTAGAAACCATCAAGCATCAATAAGGATTATATCGATGAACGCGTTTAGACAACTGAAAAATTAGGGTTACCTGATCTAGTAATAACCCTAGAGCCGGAGCCTTGGGAATATTGATCTTAGTATTCCCAAAAGTTTTATGGATAAGAGAAAGTGATGTTTCTGTTCTTATCATCATGACTATTAAAGCTGATGAAGTATTGCAAATATTAGAACGGGTAACTATGGTTTTCTTTAATAATACACTATCAATAATACCTACCAACCATTTTGCGAATTTGATGTAGCATAAAGGATTGACCATGAACTTTAAGGCTCAGCCATTCATTACATTCATTATCTTCAGTCACATTTTGATCTCCAGTCTTGGAGTCGCGAACATGTACCATTTTGGGATCACTAACCTAAAATAAATGATTTTAACTTTGGTGTATGTTGAAATGGTGCTACATATTAAAGTTACGCACTTCGAAACTCATGATAAATCGATTACAACTTTTTTCCATTGGACTGCGACCCAGTGTGAAATTATGATAATTATGCGTACCCTCATACGCTTTGAATCCTTGCCTCACCAAATCTAGTGTTCTAGAAGGAATGCGATATTTCCGCTTTTCAATCATTTCTTCAGCCGTGGCAAGAGGTACTTCGACAAACTGTGTCTGATCATTTTGATCAGTTGATAATTGTCCGATTGAACTTACTATTTGATCCCTCTCCCGTGGAATGAAAACATAGGTTGGAAGGAGATATTCATAGATGCGGGAGTCACATAATGTCTTTGCATGAAAAGAGCGAATGGTCTGAACAAACCCTATCAAACGAAAAATTTACATATTATAATAATGTATAATACTAATAGTAATAATAAGTTACGTATGAATTATTACCCCATACTCGAATCTGATCAGCAAGGTTTTCATTAATCTTTTCGACTAAATTGGGAATACCTATAATCATGTAAAAAAACAAAATACTGGAATAAGTTCTAAGGATATGTAAAATAAGCCAGATTATTATAATTGAAAAAAATTTCATATCTTTAACGATATCAAATTTCCAGCCGCGTGTACTCCCTTGTCAGTTCTCGCAGCACGCATCAAGCTTACCTATCATTCGCACTTTAAAGTTAACTATGATAGGTGTTCTATTAACAAAAGAAGCCAATTCAATTATTAGGAGCTACGTACCTTCCTTGGATCATCAGAATTATCTTTAGATATCGCACCAGCAGCTACAAAAGCTTTAAAGAGATCTTCTTCGATAGTTTTTGCATTACGATTGCTGCATTGTTTTCATCATTTAGATAAGGTAAATAATGGAATAATTGTTGGAATGTCTTCTACATACATTTGCATTCCTTGATAACCAGTTCCACAAAAACCAACCAATACTGCTACTTTCCTCTTTGGTTTTCTTGGTTCTTTCTCTATAGCTATATTACCAGTAACATCGCCATTGGTTTTGTCGCTACTTTCTTCTTTATTTCTATCTGAGCTCCTGTCTTCGTCACGATTACCTTTTCTATATTTAAAAGTTCTGTTAAGGTGCTCCCTTCTATCTTTTGCCGTTGTGTACCGTTTTCTTTTCAAAGGAGGAGAGCCTTCTTCAGACGATATAGTGTTATTCTGTGCTGCTGACCGGATGCTGGAGTCACCCTGGACGTCCATAATTTTCCAGTGTTCCAATGGTTCTGGTAAAAAATCCCGCTGGAACAATTTCTTCACTGGAATGGTATCATATATTTCACGTGACTTTTGGACCCCAATCAATCTTTTCCAGTATTGCCACCAAAATTCCGTCCGCACGTGATATGCGCGGCGCATCTATATGTTAATGTTATATTGAAAAATTGCTTAAGAAAAACCTTTTGTTAGTGCCAAAGTTCCTAGCAAACGCGAAATCTACTACCCCAGTATTAGGGTGTCCAGAATTATGCAGTGCGATAAGTAGATTATGCGATGCGATGAATGCGAAATAAATTTAAAATTATTAAATAGAGGATGCGATTTTTAAACCTTTTCTGAAAAGATTATTTATAAAATTCAACATTCTAATTGAATTTTTTTTCCTATTATCTAAAATTCGCTTATAAGCCGAAAAGCATCTACCCCTGAAACCAGTAACCAAATATATACTAATGCAATTTCATATTGATTTATATTTTCTTAATTAATGTTCATCTTTTTTTATTAACAAGAAAGAATTAAAAAAACGTTTATAACCGTTTTATAAAAAAAATTTTATTAAAATCTTGGATATCCAAAAAAAAATCGCTTTATTGATCTTATTTAGAGGTGCGTAACAACGGACACTCAATTTTTACGCACTATGTGATACAGAAGATACGTTTTTGATGCGTTTTGATCATGAAAAATTCTTTTTTGATGAGTTAGTATAATTATTTTAATCAAATATATCAATATTGTAATTTGGAAATTTTTTGTTTAGGTGCAATAACTTAGTGAAATGGATAGGTTGTCAACTTCTCAAATGGTAGGTTGGGTGTTCAAAACCCATTAATGATAAAAATTTGAATAATTATTTATGTAATATTCATTATAGTAATTGTTTTTAAGATACTTGTAATGATGGTTACATTAGAATAACTAAGAAATTATGAGACATCTGTGTAATTAATTATACAAAAGAATGCAAATAAGTATCAAGTGATACAAACTCTAGATAAGTTCTTGTAATTATATAAATATTTATTGAAATTAAGAAACAAGAAGTTTATTTTGAGAAGATCTAAATAGAAAGGTAATATGAATTTTTGACAGTACCACTATAAAGACTAGTTTTATAAAATAGATATTAATATAAAAAAATTAAATAAGTAAGAATTTTTAAGTAATAGATACTACTAACCAGATTATTAAAATATATCAAAGAAAAAGAATATTAGGTTGAACTAATATACTAATGAACTAGTTATAATCTTATTAGGTTATTTGAATTGGGTATTTGGTAATAATACAGAATATTTTAAATATACTATAAAGTGATATTAAAATTCAAATAATTTTATAAGAATATAGCAATTTAATGATTAGTTCTGATTACAAGTGTTGGTTCTGTTATAATAATACTAGATTAGTTATAAAAATGAATACAAAAAGCTTTAAAGATTTATTTTAAAAATAAAATAGTTCTAATATTAAAATGATAACCTGGTTATAACTTAGTAATATTAATATAGATTATAAGTTTAAAGAGTTTAAAATAAAATATCCAAGTAGAAGTATTAGATATAGTAATTGGTAAAAAACCTTTAAGCAAATTCTTTAAATAAATAATATATAAAATTATATATATAACCAATTATATATTCTTTCTGTAATAGTTTTTTATAAAATACATTCCTAAAAATTATTAATAAAAGTCAAAAAACTGAAGGGATTATCTTAAAGATTGAAATCAGTTTTATTTTTATTAACTGATTTTATTAACTTTTTAAAAATTATGATAGAATATAAATTAGTTATAATAAGAGAATAGCAATCCTAATATAGTAATTGGGTTGCTATCTTCCAAATAGCAGGTCTAATGTTCAAATTCCATCTATAATAAAAATTTAGAAATTAATCTGTTTATAGAAAACTGTCTCCTGTTGATTAGTTGAATTTAAATATCTGTAATCTTAAGTACAACCAATTGAGTTTTACTCATCATTAAAAGCTCAAAGCATCTATATAAAGTGTAACATTATACATTACATGTATATAAAAGAATGTTAATAACTAGTATTACATAAAATTTTAGTATAAATCCAAAATAAGACTACTGGACATGAAAGACCAAGAAACTGAAATAATAGAATCCTACTTGAAAATTCTTGAGTAAAAAGATAACACAAACTTTTGATAGTATTATTAAACTAATAAAAATCCAAAAAACTCCAATAAAAAATAAGTGGATGCAACTAGATAAAAAAATGTATAGAAGAGCATATAACCAACCAGGCTATCAGAATTACAGAAAAAAAGAATACCAAAGGTATATCATACTGAGCCATCTGAATTGGAAGTCTAAGAAGTCTGAGTTGAATAATAAAGAAATGAAATCAGAAAGATAGGTACCAAGTTGGGATGAACTTTACAAAGGTAAAAATAATATAATGTAGCAGTTAAATAAATAAACCCTATGACTGCAAGTGTTAGGTAACTATAACATATTACATAAAACTAGGTTAGCTATGTATAAGTATAGAAGGCTCTAGTAATGATGCTTCTGAAAATATATTGCATAAAATAAGGTATAGAGTTCTAAGAATATAGATAAAAGCATCTAAAACTTCATGACTAATATATGTACTAGAAATGTTCTAGTAATACAGTAAGGATTGCAGTACAGAAAGTTTAAATAGGCAATGCTCTTAGTTAGATTGCAATTATAACAGCTAAGATAGAATTATCAGTGAACTACTTAAATTAGACATCAAAAGTGTATGTATAGCTAGTTGTACTCTCTAATGTAAGGTAATTTCCTGTGAGTCCCTATGTTCTAAATTACTAAATAAAAGTCCTAGTCTCAAAAAAGACTAGTTTAAAAATAAAAATAAAAAAATAAAAAATAAATTAGTTATAATATATTTAGTTAAATCTAGTTATTCAGTTGTAATATAACTGATTAATCAGATTTAACTAAATTATTATGATCAATTAATCAGATTTAATTAAATTATTATATTCAGTTAAATTTATTATATATATAGATTAATAGATATATATATGTATTCAGATATATATAATTTTAATACAAAAAAATACAAAAAAAATGACTAATACCTTCCCTGTAGATCCCTCGACCAAAAACTCTAGGAAAGAAAACATAGAAAAACTCAGTAACTAGACTAGGAAACAAA